AGTAGTGCGCAGCTCGGTAGATGTTCATTCTCCACGAAACCTCTCAAGCGTGTGGACCATCAATCGTCTCAATTATTGCGGTACTCGCAATAACCCCGGAACCATGTGCCATCTCGGACCGAAATCACAAAAAAAGGGGTGCGAAGCCTATTCCAGACTCACAATCAGTATCAGCAACATCACAGGTGCAAACCGTAATAGAAGTACTGCATATTTAGGAGATGTGGGTGGCGTAGTCGCAGGCTACCATTCATGTTGGCGCACCTTAGTTTCGGTAGACTTTTGGGCTTAGGGTCATGCAAGCCGCGCCTCTGGCTCAACTAGCAAATATACTGTTGCGTGCAATCCCTGGTGGAGACATGGCCACAGCGTCGATGCCTCTCTTCCCCGGGTGCGCTTCGTTGCGCGCGTCCGTAGCAACTAGGTCACGCCGCAGCAATCGCATGCTGCGGGTCAGCCCGTGATCTTTGACAAACGTCGCAGTTGTCAGCGGGGCATACGAATTGCGCTCAGTCCACGACAGTGAGCCAAAGAGAACATAACATGGACAAATGCAAATCATTCGCTCCACCGACACTTGGTGGTACTGTAGTGTCGTCTAGAAACCTCAGTGTGGTGCGCCGCGTGCGAAGTGGGCGGGGTGACCTACTTTTGCCGGACGCGCGCAACGGACGTTCCTTCGAATGCTGCCTTGACAAGGCATTCACCTGCCTGGACTCTGGTCGACTGACAACTGCTCCAAGCCATTACCGAAGCGTAGAGTGTTTTGAGCCATGGATATGACCATGCCTCGCCATTCCACAACGAGGTACTGCTAATTTAAGTCACGACTTAGGTGCTCCCATAGTACAGTAGGTAATGGAGTACTTGAGCAAGAACAGAATCAAGCGACTGTTTAGGACTCGATCACCAAAGCTGATCATATTTGCACAGCCTAACAGTTCAGATATTGGATGCTGCATGCTGATGGACCCCAACTTTGTGAGTATCTCCTTGCTGTCTTTCGAGCTGAGAGTCAGTAGCGCTCTGTTGGGGCCACAAACTGCTGCATTCAAGTGCAAAACTCGATCAAAGCAGTTCCTCGATCCAATAGGTTCCCTCTGGTCTCGGAATGGGATAGTACGAACAAAGCCATTCTCAACTCAACTCCGCGGAGCAATTGTTCAGCCCTGGTAGAAGAGATCTGTCTTTACAGGCTGACATAGCGGACTTTCTCCGATGTGATTTGCTTGTGTTCGATTACGCTGGTTATGGTATCAGTGACGGAGAAGCTACGGAACAAACAGTATATGACAGTGTCGACAGAGTGTACAAGTAGGTTCAAACCCCCTGCCGAAGCCGGGCGTTGTTTACAACCTTACTGGTTAGACTCCTCCTTACCGTTCTTAGTTAGAAAGTTAGAAAGTTCAAAGTTTGAAAGTCACCAGTCTGGGGCTCATTCTCGAGACGGTTCCCATGGGTCGACTTCCATACCCCACGATTGGTCCTGTCTCTGGGTGCCTTGTTTGTTTTTATGGGCTACTAAGAATTTAGTCGATATTCCTTTCTAAATTGCTCAGAATTACAGGTACGCCACCGAAGAACTAGGCTACGTTCCCAAAGACATTATACTGATAGGATTCAGTTTGGGAACAGCTGCTATGGTGCATATTGCATCGAGAACACCTGATGTGAGCTAACAATTCCTAATTTTACGTCAGAATTCGCCTTATGGTTTTCTACAGCTAAGGGATTCTTGTACGCTCAAAGTAGTAATAAGCCTACAGTGGACGACATCCTCAAACCATCATTCAGCTTGGCGCCATGGTACTGATCGCGCCGTTCACTTCGCTATGGCGAGTAATT